AGACGATCAGGGATGTGATGTCTCAATGCTGCGCCCCCCCTCAGGACACAGGTGCATTCGAATCGACGAGGTGATTTCTCCCTTCGAGTTTAAATGCCTGGAGGGACTCATGAAGAAGTTCCCGAATTTGAAATCGGATTGGTTTTGCCTTCAGAAGCAGCCCCAGGGCCACTATATACCATCACCGTCCATTCCCTCTCCTTCTCTCTCTGTCTCGGCTCCCCGGCCCACCCCTTCGCCTACCGCCCCCCGAGACGATGGCGACTTTGGAAGACGCAGCACTGTGGGGCACGAGCAAGACGCGAGGACCGATCGAGACGACACAAGCCGACTACACGAGAGACAGGGACTCGATCAAGAAGAGAAAACGATGACTATGACGATCACGAGGACTCTCAGCGTGTCATTGGCGTGAGGACGGGTACGCGCGTGAATCTCTCGCAGCTTCTTCGCTCCTCAAGCATCGATCAGCGGTTAGGCCTTCGTCCAGCTTGTGAGTCGGTGCGAGAAGATGCCGAATGCGAGGCGCCCGAGCGATCGCCTGGCCTCTCAGTGGTGGAAGCTGGTGCGCACGCTGCTGGCAATAGTGAACACCAGGGCCTGGGAGTTCATGAGTATGGTGAGACGCCGCCACCTGTGGCCTGCACGAGTGCTCGAGCGGGATCGCCGCCTGACTGCGAAGCAGATCGAGTGTGGCCACTCGCTGCACTTCCTGATGACCGATGCCAACGGACATGCTCGCTGGTGGAAGTGCGAGGCCTGCGATCTCCGCATGAGCTACCGGTCCAATCGCGACGTGCTGGAGATGATCTCGGACGGCCTTCCGCAGAGCTACGAGGACTTGATGGAGATTCAGCAGCGAGGACCGGAGAGCGACCCGAGGCCATCCCTTCGAGCGCGTCGCGCGGTCCCTCAGCAAGCTCAGCAGGAGCCGGACGACAGCTCGATGTCGGTGGACGAGACGGGCCCCCCGGTCGTGGAGGCAGAATTGCCGTCGGGACCGGCTCCTCCGAAGAGTCGGTCTTCCCCCGCAGGGCCGAGGAGGAGGGCCGACCAGGAGGAGGCCCTCGAGAGGGCGCCCCGTCTGCTGCAGACGGAGAACCAGCTCTCAGAGCAGAAGGAGATGATGCTGACGATCATGCGCGCGGTCGAGGATCAGAACACCACGCTGCGCCGTATAGAGGCGGGGACGTCCTCAAGCTCATCGGCTCCGCCAACTCCACCGATCCCGGCGTCGCAGTCGACGGTGGTCTCCCCGGCATCGCAGATGGGCTTTCAGAAGATTCCCGAGGACGAAGAGGAGAACGGGAAGCTCTGGAGGCCTTCCTGAGCGCTCGAGAGCGCAAGAATCGCGTCGCGCTGTTCTCGTCTCTGCCAGAGACGGCACGATCCGCCATTGCATCAAAGACCTCGGGTACGATAGACACGATTTGGAGAGGTTTTCTGATTATCCAGCCGGTCGCAGATCTGGTTGAGAAGACTTCCCTGTTGGAAGGTACCCGAGATCTTGAATCAATTGATGTCTGCGGAGTACCTATGGTGCTGTTCGAGCAGGCCTGCTGGCAGGACTCGGATGGGAGACATAACTAATGACGATTCAGAGGCCACTATCCCACGTAAGTTCCCCAAGAAGGTCTCTCACTTGAAATCCGATGTTACTTTAGTCACTAATAAGGATGAACCCTCTCCGCCCAGTATTAAGCCGTCCGGGGGTTTTGTTGAGGTTTTCCCCCCCGGGGTGTCTCCTCTGCTGAGACGGTATCAGGTGAGGGCCCAAGGGAGTTGAGGCCTCATGACGGCATGGGACTTCAGGCTTGGGAAACACCAAAAGAAAGCCAAGACTCACCTGCGGGAAGAGACTCCGTGGATGATTTTGCTCGAGCCCCCCTGTAATGCGTTCTCCCGGATACAGGCGCTGAAAAAAAAAGTAAAGAGCCCAGCGAGGAAGTTCTGCGGAAGCAGGCGGAAGGAATGCAGCTCCTGAGGTTCTCGGTGGAGCTAGCGTGGATTCAGGTCAAGGCGGGGCGCAAGTTCTTGTTCGAGCATCCCCACACGGCGTCTTCCTGGGACACGGAGTGTCTGAGAGAGCTGGCCTCATATCCAGGGGCTTACTATTTGCGAGTTGATCTCTGTCAGTTCGACTTGAGTGTTTCTCCTGAGGGGGTGTCCAAGAAACCAACCGGGTCCCTTACGAATTGCTCCGAGGTTGTTCGCACTGCGCACTCTTTCCGGCTTTGCGTGCGAAGGAGGTCATGAACACATTCTTTTAGAAGGCAGTGCTCTCACTCGAGCCGCGCAGGTGCACCCTCAGAAGTTGCGCCAGCGTCTCGCCCTCGCAGTCAGCAGGAGCGAGAAATCCATGAACTACGATGAGCCGGTGACCTGTGCCGAGATAGGCATGCCCCCCCGGACCTTGAGGACCGGTCGGGGAGGTCAGGAAGGGATGGATCCGCGGCCGTGCAGCAGGTTCCTGATGAAGTACAGGGACGGCCGCCATTGCCTCTGCTGCCCCCGATCCTCCGTCTCGTTCTCTTCCCCCTCCCACTCCTCTGTTGAAGACGGGAAAGGATGTCCACCCAGGGACTCGAGCGAGGCTCAGCTGTCCGAGGAAGGCTCCTGGGACGGAGGAGTCCAGGGCCGATCGAGGAGTGCGGAACCCTCTCTCAAGGATCCAGTCAAAGGCGACATCAGGAGCAGGGATCCAAGCTACCGAGTTTTTTTTCCCCAGGTCCCGGGGCCCGAGGAGGAGGAGACAGGAGACCAGCACGCTCCCGGGG